TGTGTTCATTATCCCATCCACCGCTGTGTTGAACCAAAATTACAATTTTTTCTTCCATGACAGAAATTTAGATTGGTTAATATGTGTATTTTTCAGTTTGAGAAAAAAAAATCTCGTATGCTTTATATGTAGAAGGAAGAGATCATCGATGTAATAGAATTCTTATAGATAAAAGGTAGTTATTGTTAGCATAAATAAAGGAACTGCAGAGTTGTGGTACCTTGAATCTCTACTTTATCTTACCCATGATCTATTCAGAATGTAAAAAGGCTATAGAAGTAAATATTAAATATGTCATAATTGTTATTCACTGAATAAGGCCATATATATGTAATTATTTATAAAAAAGTGTCTACTTATGTTTTTTCCCCGAAAAAGAATGGTTCATTTTTTTGGTGGGCCTCAATGTTCAATTTCTATAGCTTTTAGTCCAACTCTTTAGTGCAATGTTGGTCCACCCAAACTCCCATTTCTAAATAGGAGTAAAATAAAAAAAAAGTGAGAATTGGAATAGTGAAGACATTGAAAATTGTAGGGAATTATTTGTATCTAAAATATTGAAACACATGCAATCCACATGTTGATTCAACAATAAAGTAGGCCAAACATATATAGTACAATTCATGATCCCTTTTGTACAATTTAATAGTGCAGTGTTGGTACACCTCAACTCTCACTTCTAATAAGTAGTAATATGGTTATATGTACACATATATGAGGCATATTTTTAACCTAACTTAATTTCAAAAAACTAACTCAAAGAAAGGAAGATTATCTGAGCTATATATAATGAATTTCAGAATCTTATTCCAAGCCAATGTGAAACATTCTCATCATAAGGCGCTCACTTATTCAAAAATGTTTTATACGAGATTCAAGAGTGTATATAACAAGATACAACTAGAATATAAAAAAAAGCATATTTGCATCAGCATGGTAAAGGGATCAAATTCTTTTATTCGCATATTTGCATAAGCATGGTAAAGGGATCAAATTCTTTTAATTTATTTGTTTCTCGTTTGATGTTCAATATTTATATTGGAGTTCAATTAATCTAAATCGACGCCACATAGGGCCCACTCGGGGGAACGCTTCTTCCCAAGGATTTTTTTATACTCAATGTTTGAACTCGAGACCAGCAATTAAGAAAGAAACAACCTCATCTACTGTACCACATCGTTTGATGATAAGGTATCAGATTCTACTACACTAATAATTATTAAAGGTCCCAAAAGTGGGGAGATTTAAACAAAAAAAAAAAGTACAAAAATGATTCTATTGCTAAATAAGCTTTCACATTAGGGTTTGGAATAAAGTTGATTAATAGTCAATGAATATGACATTATTAATTTTCTTCCATTTGAATATTTATTACAAATCACTCTCACTCATTTTCCTTTTTGACTTATATTTCCATGCTTCTAGATATACCATGCAAAAACATGTGCAAGTATAGTCAATTCTCAGACTCCAAAATAACATTTTTTTTCTCTAAACTTTTTTTTTCTCTAATTCTTTGGTTTTTCTATGAAAGAACATATAACACATTAAAACAAGAACTTACATGTTTTTCATAAATTAAAAGTTAAAAGATTAAAATGAATCGCAACTAAAATTACTAGTCGATGGCAATTGACACAATATATAAAAGCAACGACTTTCTAAATCATAGTCTAAATTTTAATTTAATTGGCTCAATAGAGAGCCTAGAAATATAGAGTTTTGTCTCTCTTACTATATATCTCTAAGTTTGTAGGTGTGTTAATTAATATAGGATAAAATAAAGTTGACATTAAAAAATATTGTATTTATTATAATCGATGAACTTTAGAACTCTCCCTTTTTGATAGACTCTAATTAAAGCGCTTGGATTAAGGTCTAGAGTTAAAGTCTTTGAGAATAATTTTCCTCAAATTTGTATGAAGCATTTTGTAATTGGTTCTGTATGATGCAAATTTAATTAATCGGTTATAAGGTTTTGAATTTGAGCCTATGTGAATGAAGAATATTTTGTTGTATGAACCAATTTTCTTTAATGAGTTTTATATGATGCAAATCTGATTCAATCAAATTGATTAAAATTTTGAGTATCAGATAATTAAATTTAAAAAAAATGAAAAGAAAAAAAAAGTCTATTAATTAGATTTTTTAAATGAAAAATAGACCATTTATCGATTTGTACATGTCATTCTTATTTCGGGATTATACTGATTTTCTATGTATCGTTTCACTTTTATTGAATGTCCATGAAGGGACGCTATCCGCTATTAGATAACAACTAATAACACTAATCAAGGTTGTGATGAAGTGATAAGTATTCCTTCATTCTTAATCAGAGGTCTTGGGTTTGAGTTCCTCTGGATACAGAGTTGCTTTTGTCAGGGAGTGCTTCATCTCCAGGACTTTCTAACGCAAATTTCAAATTTGAATTTAGTCGGATTTCAATATTAATACCGAACACCCGGAAAAAGGAAAAAAAGTCAACTGGTAATGAGTTATTGTTTGTTTGAAATCTCAGCCACACTGCGTACAGTAAGCCTATACCTAGTCAAAAGGCTCTTTTAATGTGTTCTTTTGTTTTTCATTCAATGTTTTTATTTTTCACTCGCCGTTTGATATTTATATTAAAATTTAATTAAATTTCACTTTGTGCACGATAGATACGATTCCCTTGTGCTCCCTACATACTTTTTTATTCTCAGATATTTGAATCTAGAACTCTGATTAAGAATGAAGAAATTCTGAATCATCCCACGATAATTCACGTAGATAGCTCTTATGACTTCTCTATCATGTCAATTTAGAGCTTTTAAGACGCACTAATTACTTGCTTTTTATCTCTTGGAACTAATCAAATTATTCTCAAATAATATCTTCTTAGAGTAGATCCTTATGATATTTAATTAAGTATATTTAATTTTTTCAATTAATTAAAACATAATTTTTTAGTTTTCTACTTGTGAATCTTCATAACTTGATGAATTTATAAACTGGTAAATTGTTAAATTATACATGTATTATGTTAATTTTGTAATGTTATTTTATTCTCAACGATACTATAATCTTAAATATAACTTTTCCGTCAAAGTGAAACGAATAAAATAAAAGTACCCTAGCCAATAGATTCCTCTTTTTTCCTTGCTTAATTTTTTGACATATTTTTTAAAAAAAAATCAATATTTGTCATAAAATTCCAACAATTTCTTCCACAAAAACGACTCTATGTTATAGAAGGAGTAATTTCAATGGAAATAAAGGTAACATTTCTTGATAATTAATTCCAAGATGGAAAAAATATCCATTTATTTGGTATCAATCAATGTAGGAACTTTGACTTCTACCAGTCAAACAAAAGAAAATTAATAAAGTATGATGATTTAGAATAGTATTTAATATGCATTTCGATGAACTTTACGTTATTTTTCTTAATTAAATGACATATTTCTACAATGTTCATTTTTCTTTATCATAAAGCGTAACTAAAAATTGGAAAAAGTTCATGTGTCCATCCATATTAATATGTCCTCTTCGTCTTGTCTTTTCATTTGTTTATTTTTACATAATAAATGTCAACTATATGCTAAAATGACTTTTCAATTTTCATATTTGAGTCCAGAGAAGATGATAGTAACCACCATGTTAACAATAGTGACATCAACGATGCTATTATTCATATTTATGACACATTATAAGATTTAATTGTAGTTTGTATTCAGACTACTGATTTTATTAAAGCGTCCATTATTATTTCAGAAAAATAAATGCTTATAAATTCTTGTATAAAAATTTCAAATTTTATATCTCCATCCACTAAATAAGAGGAATTTTTAAGAACATTGACAAAATATCCAAAAAGATAAATAAATCAAATTTAAAAAGCATTTGAGAGATTTTTAATTTTATGAGTAAAATTTATCAATTTTAGTGATGTTATTATTTGTTTGAATTATTAATTAAGTCACCTAAAGTAGGATAAATTCAAACAAAGGGCAGATATGCACAGGTTCACAAAAAAAAAATATATGATTATTTTTTTTGCGTATGTTCAGAAAAAAAGAACTCCAACCCAACAAACTAGGATCTAAAGGGGTTTTCTTCAATTTTTCAATAAAGATGATTTTTTACTCCAACCCAACAAACTAGGATCTAAAGGCTGCAATTGATATATATATATATATATATATATATATATATATATAAAACTTGAAATTAACATCGATTTCCTCTTTGGGTCAAATAGAATATTCATCTAAGGTCTTTTGTTCCTCCAAGGACTATGTTCCTCTCAAGTTTCTTTGGAACAATTTTTGGTCTCACAAAATAGTGATGAAAATTATGGGTGAGCTCAACATTAATGGATTAAAATATCTCAAATTCAACTCCATATTAGTTACTCAGTATATGGTCAATATCCATTTGCATGTTTTATGCTATTGACCTTCTGAAATATGTAGAGTGGAGGAGAAGTAAGTGGGCTGAATTCAAAATCCTTTAGCCTCTTCCTCAATTATCCAAGAAAGGTTGTAGCCAGCCACACTATTTTAAAGACTTTTCTTCTCCCAAAAAGAAAAAAGACACAGTTCTAAATGCATGTTATCATTATTAGCAAAAATTTGTAAAATCACACACCTCAAAGGTTATAGAATTCCTGAGAAGAACAAGGCTCAACAGTAATAATGTACATCAACTTAACTTTACAGAGCACTTATTCATTGATGCACTCAATTTCTACTTGTAAATATAAGATGGTTCCCTCCTAATGCATTTCATATCATATCCATAAACCAGACTAAAAACTTATCTAATATTGCTACAACTAAAGCTTACAGAATGGAATGTGACATATATGGCAACCCCATCTGCACCATTTGACAAATGATTTGAATATCTTATAGATGAAGCAAAAGAGGACCTCATTGTCCAACTGCCTGAGACATGTTGTATTCTTGGACCTGCAAATGTGTGTTAGTGTCACCACAGATCGATCACTAATGTACATGATAGACCATGATCCAGCTAATTACCAAGCGTAAAAACCTGCAGCCAATTTCCAGCAGGTTAGAGATTTGTTAGGAATGCATAAGACCAACTAGCTTGGAACTTCCAGCTCTTCCTCCTTGCTCTTTTGATTTTTGATCCTTTCTGATTGAGAAACAAGCAGCTCGTAAACTCTTTTCTTCAACTACAAAAACCCAAAAGAACATGTCAGAACATACTAACGAAGAAATAGCTTCAGGGAAATAACATAGCACTTCATGCTGACTATTGAGTTCTATTAGCCTATAGGGTGAAACTATGGATAGTGAAAGCAACTCCGGCGAGATTATTACAATAGTCTGAAGAAACTTAAGTAAAAAACTCAACATCCATGTTTATGTCTCTGCCTCTGCTTCTGACACAGAATTAAATCTTTATAAAAACAAACTAACAATTCACGGTTAATTTCAGATAGGTGCTCATAAGCTATGTATTTTGTGTCCAAGCTAAAAATGACTAGCAACATGCCGGAGGGGGAACAGAATGGTACCTCATGAAGACCAATCTCATTCTTTACCGACACATTTAGGGCTCCATCAGGTCCCATCTTCCTATACCTCACCAGCTCAAAGTTATCAACATTACAATCATCTGTTGCAAAGATGACAGGAGATGCTTGCAGTAAGTCACATTTGGACACGACATCAAGCCAAATATGGCTGCTGAATCTCTCTCGCATTTCCTTATAGATCACAAACTGCATAAACCACACTTGGAAATCAAACATTTTATATACTATGAGAAAAGATACAGAAGACTAAAAATTGGCTGTAGCAAAAACCAGTATCACAAAGTGTATTGACATTCTCCTAAGCTTTCCAGATTACTGATGAACATTTACAACATTACATGTTTGGGGAGGGACAGACAATCCCCCAATCAAACAAAAGAAACAAGAAAACAGTTTCTAATATAGCAGACAGATGCTCTTATGTAGGGACAGCCAATCCCCAAATCAAATAGAAGAAACAACAAAACAGTTTTATAACCAATAAAACAGTTCGAAAGCAACGGGAAGCATTCACTGGAATCTCTTATATAGCCCAGCTACTGCCTACTATATACTTTACTAGCTCCTGATAGAGAAAATATGTACACTTTACTAGCTCGTGACCATTCTCATATGATCCATCTTCTCATTATTGGGGAGAATAGTTCATCCTAAATCACCAATATGCAAGTTCTAGTACGTCAACTTTTTGTCCATATACACTACTAGTACATGACGGTTCTCATTTTATCCATCTTCTCATTATTTAGAGAACAAAATAAAATAGCTTATCAAAATCATGAATACGCAAGTTCTAACACATGCATAATTACTTCAGATATATAATAGATCCCACCTTCAGGTTAAACCATTCCGGTATAAAACAATAAAGAACCCCTCTCCACTAGTGGACTTGAAGATCAAAGTTCCAGTAAAAACAGAAACACAGAAATCATTGAGAAACCTGATCAGAAGGTGACATCCCACATTCTCCAGATAAATCATGAACATAAAGTACTGCAGTTGGCAAATGAGTGAGTACAGCAAGTGTTAACTTTTCCAAGTTATTCCTTTCCTCTGCAGGTTCAATCAAAATAAGGAAAAATTGTTAAAAACATATATAAAAAGATAAGAGATGTAATCCTTGACAACAAAACACAAGAACAACATACCCAGTGAAATCCCACTAAGTGGGTCTACAACAAAATACAAAAGTCCAGATCATAAGAAAGAAATTCAGAGAAGTATAAGTAATGTCTCACTGTTTGCTAAGCAGCTAGCAAAAAGAAGACTGTAGTTGCATTATTTTTCTTTTATGTCAAAACGTGGGAATTTCTATTTACACCCATTCCAGACAACTTTCCATCACTAGATTCATTCTAATGTAGAAATTGAGCAATACCTTCTCATCTCAAACAAGCCAATTTTATTCTAGTTCTTTGGAGAACTAGACTGTTACTTGGATAAGCGAAATTGCGGCTATTGGTATAATAATTTGTCGTCTAAGTAGTACACTTACCCAAAAGATTTTTGCATGCCAAAGGTAAAAGTTCTGTCAATAGTATACCAAGTTTTAGTCCAACTAACTCTCTTCCCCATAAACACATCATTATGCACAGATAAACCAAGAGAATTTGTACAACTCGTATCCTACAAATAATCTTTTCGACCAACAAAACTGACGATGTGTCATCGGCTTCTTTATATTATGTAGGAGAAAGTAAAGGCATTCATAAAAAATATTCACGTTATTCAAATGGTAAATCAAGAAGAAACTTTTACCATCAGATCTCCTTAAGATACCAGGGGTATCAGTAACCTGAAGATAAAAATGCTTAATCAGTAAAATAGCAGAAGAAGCAAAAAGGCATGAAGCATTTGAGAAAACCTTTTCACTTTGAAATAAAGACTAACCTGAAAATTCTGGTAACTCAAATTAATATGACCCATCAGAATTCCTCTAGTAGTGAAGGGATAGTTGCAGATCTGATAAGATTCAATGACGTTACTGGGAACTCAATCAAGGAAAAAAAAGTATGTGATGAAAAGATGCAATCAACTGGAGAAAGTACATCAAAAACTTTCTATATGGTTGATAGGGGCATGCAAGAAAGTACGTATAGTTAGGATTTAGTTCTAGTCAAAACATCAAACCAAATTCCTTTTACTCATTCGTAAAGCCGTAGACAAGTCTCAAAATTCACTTGTCTACCAATGCATCCATGCCTATGATAATGCCAAACTATAAGAAACATCTTTATAACAAACCAGATAAAATAACTGACGAAACAGTGATTAGGTAAAGAGGAAACTAAATTGATTGGTAATAATTGTTAGTTTATAATCATATCTGGTCATTTCTTAAGCTTCCATCTCATTGCTTATCTTCCACTTCACTTTTTCCTTACTATTACTTTTACAGATCTAACATTTGAGACCTGAGTTAGCCAAACTAAATACGGGTCAGATTTTAGAAAAGCATTTGAAGGAAAACCAAGATTCAGAATAAGAAATTTCTTCGCACCCAAGTCTTTTTTCAATGGATGGTAACTCTAGAAAATTTGCCTTCCTCAAGAGCATACATATTATTACGTATAACTATCTAAAGAATGATGGGTGAAATCCCTTATCCCAGATAAAAAACAAGTAAAAATGGAATGAAAGCTAGCGAACTTAGTACGTACCTCAGGCTTCCCTGTCGAAAGTACGCGAACCAAAGATGATTTTCCGACATTGGGAGCACCAACAAGACAGAGAGTTGGTGTTTCCAGATCGACAACTGGCATTGCCCGTAATGTCTGCCACCAGTAAAATTTGTCAGAGACTGGCAGAAACCACTTTCTTCGATTACACAAGCAAAGATCATTGTTTAATAATCATCTATTAGGAAATCCAACTAAAAAGCTTCCACACAATCACGAAGCTAGCTATCATGACATGTAATGTTACTGTATTTGTTGTAAAATCATAGACACAGACGTTCGATGTAATCAGTGTTGTCAAAGGAGCGTGCTTAAGCCCTAAAGCGAGGGTCAAAACATGTTGAGTGTCTTGCTTCGCTTAATGTGTGCTTCAATGTCATCATCAAGGCTCTAAGACAAACTTTCCTGAAGAGGCGACACTAAACAATTGTTATTTCACTTTATCGTTTACAAAGATTCAATTTCTTTATTCATATATTTTTTACTCATGCTTATGATTATTATTCTTGGACTAAGCATATATATTTGTATACTTTCAGGAAGAGGCGACACTAAACAGTTGTTATTTCACTTTACCGTTAACAAAAAATCAGTTTCTTTATCCATATATCTTTTATTCATGCTTATAATTATTATTCTTGGACTAAACATATATATTGGTATGTTTTCTCCAGTTGCAACTTTTTTTTTTAAAGCCTACGCTTTATTTGCACTTTGCGCGTAAAACCCCGACGGACCTTGAAGTTGTTTTGCGCTTTTTTCTTATGATAAAACTGGATGTAATTGCATCATGTCCCTTTTTTTCTTGACATCCTTCTGATGTGTTAAATGAAGGTTCGCGATAATAATTGTTTGAAACTTCATTTCAGTTTTCAGTATACTAATGTCAGCATATATCTAACCACTTCTTTTTCTACTTTTAGTTCATCTATAAGACTCATAGTGTATCCCTAACTGGCATTACCTTGGCAATGTTCAATAGTTCATCAACAGCTTTTCCATCACCATCAAATATTTCCTCAATTCTTTTCAATCCCTACAAAGACACTCTCTCACAGATCAACTTATGGATTATATCAGATAAATATAAAATTCAGTAAAATTGAAACTATCAGACTACCTCATTCAGTCGCTCCTCTGCTTCTCGTTTAGATAATGACTGGCACAAATTGCATCAATTACTTGATTTGCATCTTAAATAGAAACAGAAACCATAAAAGTAGAAAGTAACAACTTCTTAAATATTTCATCAAATCAATAATGAGAAAATAGAACATAATAACATTTGTAACAAACATGAGCTGTTAAGCATGTCATCCATTCCCAAGATTGTGTATGGGTTGATGAGTGGTATATCTACAGAGGCCTAATAGCTCAATAATTAGTGTCCTCAATGCCTAATTATGTCCTATTCTAATTATATTTTGATGATTGCAGCTATGAAGGCTAATGAACAAGGCAAGGATGAATGTTTGAAAGAATGAACAAAATTGTAAGAAGTGCAAACTATACATTGATGATCGCCAAACAAGAAAAGTGGATCGCCTAGTGAGCAGGGCCTCGCCCAAAGTGACAGTACACAACACTTGTGTTTATCAAGGCAAGTCGGCGAACTCCAAACAGAAAGGCGACTCGCCATATGAGAAAGGGCGAACAGGTTGACCATCGCCGAAGGCGATAGTACAAGGAGAAAAAGTGAAGGCTCGAAATGCGAACTAAGGTGGTACTCAGCGATACGTTGAATATGAAAGGTGGATTTGAATGAGTTCACCAACTAAGGTTCAAACACCTGAAACTTAGAGAAAAAAAAGGCAAGCTGAAGAGCATAGGGTGATTCGTCCAACGTGATTGGCGAGCCCAACTAATGTCGCCCAATGGGTCATGTAGTGAGTTTTGGGCCAGATTTTGGGTAAATTATAAATAGCCCAAAGGAGAGAGAAATTGGAGGTCAGAGAATTTACTTGAGAAATGAGAGTTTGAGTGTAAAAAAAATTGAAGAGAGAAAAACACTTTATCTTGTGAGGAACACTTTCTAGTTTTTGGGGTTTTCAACTTTGCTCTTGAAATTGACAAATTGAAGTTAAATTCACTACAGGCTATAGCATCTACCTAGGTGCAAACTGTATTTCTTGGACTTCCACGAAACAAACAACAGTAGCAAGATCAACTGTTGAAGTTGAGTATAGAGCACTAGCCTCCTGTACAGTAGAGATGATATGGATCATCTACCTACTTCATGATCTCGGAGTGTACCTCAAGACAGTTCCTACATTGTATTGTGATAATTTGAGTGTTTTGTACATGACAATAAATCCAATTATGCATGCTAGAACCAAACATGTAGAAATAGACTATCATTTTGTTTGAGAAAAGGTGGCCAGAAGTCAACTTTTTACACAGTTTGTGAGGTCTAAGGATCAACTAGCTAACATTCATACAAAAGCATTGACAAAGCAAATCTTTGATGGTTTTAGAAGCAAGCTAGGAATAACTGTTCTACCACTCACTAGCTTGTGGGGAAGTGCTGAAGGTAGGATCAAGCTGAAGATAAGGATCGAGTTGATCAGCATGGTACAACTGTTAGAAGTCTTGTTGGCTGTTAAGAAGTTAGAGTCGGACTAGGACTAGGCTATGTAAGTGTAGTAGTTGTACTTAACCTCTACTCTTGTAATTGTATTTGTATTATAGTATAACTCTAAGTGTAGCTAGCCTAGGACCCTACAACTCTATATCAACTCCTATATAAAGGCGCATGTACTCAAAAGTTTATCATTGAATACAATCCTTGATTTCTCTCAATCATTGTTGAGATTTCTAAATTTATAAGAGAACAAGTACGATCAAAATAGACTAACCAGTTCCTAATTCTTAGGAGATCCTTGAATCAAGAGATTTCATCTAAACAATTTTTCATAGAACAACTCCTAACAACTTCTCCTGAAATTATATGTTATCCCATATTTAGAGGACCAGATCACAATCAAATCTGTCAGCTCACACCAGGACCAGATTATGATCAAACCTGCCAGCTCATTCAACAAAGACTTTATACAGGTCTTTCCTCTTATTACCTTCCATGAAAATAAGCAATCAGGAGAGGATGGAGCTTTAGAATTTTCCCTGTTTTCTCTGCAATTCTTGTTCATCTATTCTCGCATACTTGACGTAGCCTTCATTTTTTAATCACTAGTCCAAACCAATATAGGACCTAGTCAAGTTGAAATTAAGAAATTGTGTTGCTATGGATCATGCAAAAGATGTTACCATAAATGAGATAACAAATTGAAGATACTTCCAACATCTTGACTTGTTTGCCTAATTTTTCTCCTTAATATTCCACAACAATAGCGATAGTAGCGGTCTATTTTTATTTGCAGCATCTGTATGATTTAAAGATGTTGGCTAAAGAGGTTCAATAAGGCCACTGCAGGTTAGGGATGTGAGTGGATCAGACTCAAAGAAAAGAAGAAGCTGGCCACAAGCATGAATTAAGGAGATTAGACAGAAATCTGACCTACCTAGGAGATAGATAATTTTGTTTAATTTAGAAAGGGTGGCGGGATGGGAGCCTAATCTTATATGCAAGTCAAAGTATACCAATAGCTCCTATGGAAGATTTTATAATAACATGGAATACCTACGGGGCAAAAAGAAGAATGTCATCTAGAGGGCTATTTTACCTAAGAATGTTTCAAAATAAAAAACCGGAGAGCGGGGAGAGGTGAGAAGAATAGCAGCATACAATTACAAAGTAGGTTACTATTTTATGCAACTAGTTTTCCAACCTTAGCACATAATGATGCATGTTCCTTTCCAACTGATACCACCTTTTTCCTTAAAGCTTCTAACTTTCCCAATACCTGCAAAAGTGTAGTTACTTAGATGTAAGACATGAGAGGGACAAACCAAAAATATTGAAATAAATATCTAGGGTAGAGAAGACAAGGAAAAAAATGGATACACATCTTCTTGTTTTTTTTTTCTTTTTTGAGAAGGAAAAAAAGATGATAGTTCTATTGATAGGAAAAGACAAAAAAAAGCCATACAAGAACGGAGAAAAAAACAATGTACCACTAAATGTTGACACCTCAATTCACCAGAAAAATCACAGAGTTACATACATTAGTTTCTCTTCTCAATCAATTAACTCAAAATTAGCACGGTGCCAACATTACATCCCAAATGTTGAACAAGATGTAATAAAGATACACTTCAAATAAATGTAGAGTTTAAACAGTTGAACCTTTCATTAAAACATGCAAGAAATGAAAACCATAAACCTCCTGAGAGGGGTTGACGATATATAAAATGCTAGTTTCAATGAATATTGAAACATAAATCCAGACCCTGAAAATCACTCCAACCAACTGAAGGACCCAACAGAATCATTTCATGTCTGTCAAATATACGTGTCAAATAACTTCACAAACTCAAAGCTTTACTTAGATTAGCTAAAAACGACATAAAACACAACAAACCCCAAGATATATGCTCCTAGCATTGATCCTTTTTTTCTTCTTTACTATCTTTTAATTTTCAGGACAGAGACATTTAAAACTTCCAATTTAACTACATGTACTATTCTGAAGAGTCAAAAAATCATTTTTCAAAATTCAAAGCTATTTCCCTGCAGGAAAAGTTACTAATGACCTAAATTTCCCTGAAATACCATTATTTGGAACAAGATACTAGAGTGATTGAAAGTTACATCTTCATAGTTTCCGTCTCCGAGCGTTAACTCAATCAAAGATCGTTCATAAGGGTGCAAATATTTTTTGTTTGGGAAGTTCTCTTTGTATGTCCTCAAAGGCACAGCCAACTCCTGCATATACAAAATGAATGATAAATGTAAATTCTGTTTCGTATGAGAATATCAAAATTATAGATGTATCCTCCAATGAGAAGCATTAGTCTGTTTGAGAATCTCACCTTCATTAATGCGTCAAGTTGTTTTGCGCCTTTATTTCTCTCACGTTTTGCAGCATTAGCAATGCCTGTTAAACATATTAACTAAATGCGATAATTCCTTTCATCTGTGCATGCTTGAGTCAAGTACAAGAATTGATACTACAATGATGAGGTGGAAGTAAAAAGTACATAACACGAGATTACCCTTTGTAGGCGAGACCCTCCTTGCTTTCCTTAGTGCTGAATGTAGAATATCTACAGACGGCATTACCATGGGTAATTTTTGAAATGCACCTACATTTTCTACCTTAGGTGTCAATTTTTCCTACAAAAAAATGAGTAGTCGCATTCACTTTCAATGTGAACAATAAAAGATCAGCATTCATTCATAGAACAGGACAGAGGTAATTCACAGTAACTATCCAACTATAAAAATTAATTCAAATGGTAATAGAAATCTAAAAATGAAAGTAAAGGAGTAGCTATACTTTGTTTTCTTGTTGGTTCTGTGGATTTGATACATAGCTTCCTTTAGCAATTGCATACGTAGTAGTTTGCATTTGCTTACAAAAACATGACATTGGATACAAAACACGTACAGGAACCAAGTACAGACCTGCACCCCGCAACTACACATTTGTTATTGGAGAAATAGACCAAACAAAAAGTTAAATCATCAAATCCGTACCAAAATTCATGCTATTTCAAAATCTCGTGTTAGACCAATATAAGTACATAGGGAGACTATATAGAGAAATCAAATTGTCTCCAAAGTGCACGGAGTAACAACAATCCGGAAAAAAATTGTGTTTTAGGTTTAATTCACTGCATTGAAAAACACAAAACGGTACCTTTGGAAAGCTTGGAACGGCCGAAAAACAGTGATGAGGACGGAAGTTGCCATAGCTGAAGAAGACCTGAAGTACCGCTCATATCTCTCTTAGCGCTGAGCTCTGAATATCCCCAAGAAAAAAAAAGGGACTGGCGGTAGTGGTAGTGGCCTTTAAAACGATTTTCAATATAACACAAGGATACAAATTTATCCTTAAAAAAAAGGGCAAAAGAAGCTAATTTTAGTTGTTATTTGCTTATATTATTAGGTCCCTAAAGTAAGATAAATTTGATGGTGCAAATATTTTTTATATTTGCAATGTGTATAAATTATAAACTTTATAACCGGGATTCGTGAACCCAACCAGACCCATTTAGGGACGTTTCAAAATTGAGTGCTATCTTTTCTATCGTGTTGGGTATCATCGGATAATATTCACAAAAAAAGAATATGATTTTATTTTTTTTTGTATGTTCACAAAAAAGAATTCAAGTTCATCGTAAGTTCATCTTGCTCATGTAGAGTACAATATCACAATAACCAATTTATTATAAATTAACAACTAGGAGGCTTCGTCCAAATCTCTTGCTTACAAAATTGACAAGTAGGAAGGATACAAAATTCACAAGTAGGAACAAGAGGGCTTTGTCAGTTTACAATTTTAGGTTAAGGTAAGTCAAAAAACTTTTCTTTCAAGTTGAAATATTATGTCACTTTTTACATTTTTTGCATAGAACGTTTCTACGTTTCTGCTTATTATGAAAAAAGTTTGCATTGAACATTTCCGCTTATTATGAAAAGTTATCTTGGATGTCTCCGCTTACTTTTCATTTATTATGAAAAGTTTGCTAAGAGAACAAGGTCTCGCTATTCACCCCTTTAGCATTACTCGCATTTACTCGCCTTTGAAAAATTACATCTTATACAACGTCTATTCACCTTTGAAAAATTACATCTTATACAACGTCTATTCGCCTTTGAGGAGTTACATCTTATACAGCGTGTACTCGCCTTTGAGAAGTTATTACATCTTATACAACGTAGTCAGGTAGTGTACAAACCTCGACTCAATAGTCAATATTTGAAAAGTGACAACTTACTTCAACTATATTGCAACAATCAAATTCAATCTCAAACAAAATAACGATTTGCAATTTAAAGAAATTCTAATGTAAATTGGTGCATTCTACGACTTTTAAATCTAATTTAAAAGTTTTAGATGAGATCGAGAAAAACTAACCGAATAAAAAAAATGAAATGTAGTAATTAAATATGGTAGGTTTTCTTTTAAAAAAGAAGAGTGTAACAATTAAATCTGGTAGCTAGTAACTTAATTAGGTAATTAATTATATCTATATCTTTAAATAATTACGTATCTTATTAATTTTTGCTATCATATACTATAATAGAGAGAGAGGTGAGCGAGATCGCCATATATTCCATGTATATGCTAATCACTCTAAATATATGTATATGTATGTATCTTGTGTGATTCACATGTAGATATATAGGAGAGTGGCGAGCGAGATGAGAGGTGAATGAGATTTGTTATGTATCTCAAATACATGTGAATCACTTGGTTGCAGTGTACCTAGAACAAATTATATCTAATTTTGACCTCATGTATCTCGAAATACATGTATCTAAACGCACCAAAATCTGGTAAGATTCATAATATTACAAACTAGCGTATATCTAAGTAGTTAGCTCCTAAACTAGTGAGATTAAGGTGAGTTTCACAAACGAAAAAGTAAAAAATGTTCAAGTGTTCAACCTCTATTATATATATATATTAAAAATTATTTTTAATCATGTATAAACAGTATAATTTTCCATTACTCAGTCAAGAAAGATGTGAAAGTTATCTAATTTAAAATGTTATTTAAGTAAATTTTCATTTAATTATTATATGTCTGTGTCGTGTTATTCATATAATTTTTTATTTTAGTTAAAATGTATATTTATTTGAGAAGCATTATGACAATAGCTATTTATTGAAATAACAAGATTTCATATTATCTTTTCAAACAAACAAGACTACAAGTTCTTCTAATAAGTTTCCTTTAATATAGGTCCTTGTATCTCTTGCAATACACATTTAAAAATAATTACTTCCATTTCAATTTGTTTAACTAGATCAAACTAATTAATATTTCATGTAAATTTACCTATTTAAAAAGGGGAAATTTTCAAAACAGCAATATTTTATCTTTTAGTGGGACTCCTTAGCAACAGTTTCATTATTTATTAAAAATATCATTATTTTAGTTTGTTAATGGATTAGTTATGTATTTATTTTATTTTTATTAATTTGAAAGAATACAAAAATTAATAACAGAAAAGAGAAAATCATGGAACGAAAAAATTCAAAAAAGGTAAAAAAAGGTTTTAAAAACAAATCAGTTACCTTTTGAAAAAATTATAAATCTCCTTCTTTCTGTCGAGGCTTTTTTTTCTTTCTTCTTAAGAACATCAATTTTTTTTAAAAAATAATTTAGTTTGTCTTCCGAATCATTCATCTTATAACTTTCAAAGATTCTTCAAGTTGAATATGGCATATTTTTTTAAACGAAATTTTTCAAAATTGAGGACTATATAAATTTGTCGCATCTAGTGAACAATCGAAAAACAATCAGGTATTTTTTTTTATTTTTTTTCTTGTTTGGATGAAATATTCGCATATGTCGAGTATAAATTGTTGTTTTTTTTCCTGATTAAATTAGTGAAATCTTTGTATGTATTGGGATTTATAGCTTTTTACGGATGTTTTGTACTATAGGGATACAAGCATAACAATTCTGGACAACGTACAACTATGGAGTAAAAAACATCAACTAATTAGTGGTTGTATGCAGATTTTTGTTGACTTGTAGTGATTGCTGGATACAATTAAGTATTGGATACAATTAAGTTGTATTCAAACTAAAATGTATTTATATCCAGTTTGTTATATTATTATTATTTCACTGAAAATATTGTTTTCGAAAAACATAGAATAAGTTGTATTAAAATAATTGTATTTATATTACAATATCCAGTTTTGTTATTTTATTAGTATTTCACTTTAAAATTGTAGCAACTATTTTTCTAGCTCAGTTTGTATTCCAAAAATAATTATGTATTTCAATATCATTTTGTATTTCAAACACAAAATGAATACAAATAAGTTTGTATCCTTTCTTAATTCGTATTTATATGTAATGATAGATTATATTGGGATACAATCAATAACATTTTTGTAATAAATAAAAGAAAAATATATTTGGCAGTTATGTAATACAATTTTGATCACTTGGATACAATTTTTAGTTTTCACTATGAAAGTAAAATATCAGTTTTAAGTTTTAATTTGAATGGTAAAGTGAGCACATAAAATGCAAAAGTTGTTGGTATACAATTATGATGAAAACATAATAAAAAAAAGAAAGTTTCAGTTTTGGAGAACACCGATTATATTGAAGTTTGAGTTGGGAATTCTTCTTCCAAAGTTGTTTGTCAACGAAATTTTAATAATTTGTATTTCATTTGACATACTTATTAGAATGAATACAAACTAATAAAGAAATACAAATGTCATTATACAAACCCAAATATGAAAATCGTAATGAATACAAATACACATGTATATTGGAATGAATACAATTTAGGAAAGGATATAAAATTATAAAAATATTACATTACGCTGTGAAAAAAATAAATGAATACAAATATGATTCTTCAAGAACTACAAATCAATTTGACATACAATTTAGCATCCATATTGAAATGAATCTCGTATTGTACATAGCCTTTGCCTCAACTGCAATTGCCGATTCAATCCAATGCCACAAAGTTCTATTGAAAGCAACTGCAGTAAGAATAACTTGGGGGAAACTGGTGGCACCTTTAATAGGGCCATTGAAATTGATCCCATATCCCTTAGTGTCAATACCATGAAGAGATTCTAACCGCCATTCATATGCTAGTAATAATGTCTTGGAGGAATTTCTGAAATATTAAAACGAAATTAGAAAAAAATTGTTTAAACGACTAAAAATCTTAAATACATAAATGTTAGATGAATATGTAAACAAACTTGAATAAAAATAAAAAAAATTAACTGAAAATCCGTAATATGTACAATTCTAAATAAAACCATAGACGGTGATATTGAAAACAAATCAAAAGAATTCTAAATAACAAATCGATATTACCTTTACCAAATTCAAAATTTCTTGAATTAATCTCTAGATTTTGTTTACCAACCGATTAATCCCTTGAATTAATCCACCAATTTTGTTGAAGAATCGAGCTTTGAATACCTTGTGTTTCAATGTGAGCAAAAAACTTGAAGAAAAAGAATCTAAGAACGTGAAAATTGGGGGAAAACAAAAACTTTAATTGCGAAAGGTGAAAGATGGGAAACGTCTAAGATGTGGGAAGATATTAATGGATAGTTGTGTATTTGTTTTTATTTTTAATATGTTATTGGTTAGAATTTGATCCAATTATGGACTCTTTTGATTAATAAAAGGAAATATAAATAATAAAATGTGAATACATATTATTTTTGAAAAAATTGACATTCTGTAATTTTAAATAAATATTTTAAAGTGTTGTTGTTTTGACTAAATATGTTAGGTATTATGACTATATAGCTAATTTTCCCATTTAAAAATTATATAAAAAGTACTATATAACTCAACAAATTGGGTCAATCCTTCATAGCCCTTTAGCAAATTGGGCCAATCCTTAATATGTAGCCATTAATGAACCAGGGCGGGTCCAAGCTAACTCGGCCCATTAAGTAGTCTAAGTACTCATATTGCAACAATCAAATTTAATCTCAAACGAGATAACGATTTGCTATAATTTTTTGTCTAATCTCAAACGGCATAACGATTTGCTATAATTTTCTTTCTAATATAAGTTGGTGCATTGTATAGTTATGACTCTAATTTAAGGAAGAATATAGGAGAGTTTTGGTTTAAAAAAAAATATTGTAGTTTTTTTTTTTGTTTTTTAAAAGGAAATGTAATAACTAATTTTTCGCTAATAATTTAATTAGATAGTTAATTATTTTCTCTCTCTTTTGAATTTGAAAGATTCCTAATTCAAATGAAATTAGGATTGTATTAGTTTCTTCTG